CTGTGTTCATCCAGCTCTACACCTTGTTATCTAGTTATCTTAGTCTTGAATATACTTAACGGCCCAGCCTTGGCAGTCCTCTGTGGTAAAGATTCCACAGACTCATTACCCTCTAAGGGAAGAAATTCCACCTAATCTGTCTTAAATGTGCAACCCCTTATTCTAAGATTATCTTCTCTGGTTCTAGACTCTTCCACAAGAGAAACAATCTTTCTGCATCTATCCTGTCAAGTTCCCTAAGAATATTTTATGTTTCAATAAGGCCACCTCTCATTATTCTGATTTCCAATGAGTACAGCTCCACCATACTCAACCTCTCTTCACAAGAGATTCCCTCCAGATCTAGTGAATCTTCTCTGTCTGCCTCGAATACCAGTATATCTTTCCTTAGATAAGGGGCCCAAAACTGTTCAAGGTATTCCAGCTGCAACCAAAAGACCATAAGATATAGGAGCAGAATTAGGCCACTCAGCCCATCAAGTCTGCTCAGCCATTTGATCATGGCTGATAAGTTCTCAACCCCATTCTTCTGCCTTCTCCCCTTAGTCCTTGATCTCACTACTAATCAAAGACCTACCTATCTCTGTCTTAAATATATTCATTGACTTGGCCTCCACAGCTTTCTGTGGCAATAAATTCCACAGATTCAATACCCTCTGGCCGAAGAAATTCCTCTTCATCTCAGTTGTAAAGGGTCGTCCCTTCATTCTGAGGCTGTGTCTTTGGGTCCTAGTCTCTCCTATTGGTGAAAACATCTTCTCCGCATCCACTCTATCCAGGCCTCTCAGTATACTATAAGTTTCAGATCCCCCTTATTCTCCAAAAGTCCGTTGAGTACAGATACAGAATTCTTAGCCACTCATTTGACGAGCCCTTTATCCCTGGGATCATTCTTATAAACCTCCTCTGAATCCCCTCCAAGGCTACCACATCCTACCTTAGATACTGGCCCAAAACTGTTCACAATATTCCAAATGTGGTCTGACCACAGCTTTTGATACAGCTTTAGCAGTACATCCCTGCTGTTTAATTCCAGCCCTCTTGAAATTAATGCAAACATTGCATTTACCTTCCTAACTGCCAATTGAACCTGCATGTTAATCTTAAGAGAATTCTGAACTAGGACTCAGATTTCTGAAACCTTTCCCCATTTAGAAAATAGTCTAGTGAAAATTGTCTGAACTGTCTGCAGTGTGTCTCTCCATAGATAAGGGGATCAAAACTGTTCACAGTGTTGCAGCTGTGATCTGACTAGTGCCTTGTATAGTTTTTAGCAAAGACTCCCTACTTTTATACTCCATTCCCTATTACGTTCTGAATCTGGATGCTAGTTTTTTTGTGGTTTATGGATGAGGACTCCAACGTCCTTCTGCTGTATACCTTGCTGCAGACTTTCTCTGTTTGAATAATATTCAGCTCCTCTATTCTTCCTGCCAAGGTGCATAAGCTCACATTTTTCCACATTATGTTCCACCTACCAGTGTTTGTCCCCTCACTTAACCTGTCTACATCTCTCTGCAGACTCTCAGTGTCATCCTTATCATGTGTCTTCACATCTGTTTTTGTGTCATCCACAAATCTGGTTCCAATATATTCACTTTCTTCACCCAAGTCATTAATATATATTGTAAATAATTATGGCCCCAGTAGTGACCTCTGTGGCACTCCCTTAGTTGCAGGTTGCCATCCTGAAAACTTACCTGTTATCCCAACTCGCTGTCTTCTGTCAGCCAATCCTGTAGTGCTAATCAATTGGCTACTTTGTCTGCGATAGCATCAAGCTTCCTGAGTGTTGTTGCATCCATCCAAGTGGAGGATATTTTATAACTCTGCTAACTTGTACCTTGTACATAGTGGACAGACTTTGGGGAGTCAGGAGATGAGTTACTTGCCATGGAATTCCTAGCCTCTGACCTGCTCTTGTGGCCACAGTATTTGTGTGGCTAGTCCAGTTCAGTTTCTGGTCAATGGTAACCCATAAGGTCAAAAACAGAAGTTGCTGGAAAAGCTCATCAGGTCTGGCAGCATCTGTGAAGAGAAAATCAGAGTTAATATTTCCGGTCCAGTAACCGTTCCTCAGAACAGTTCTGAGGAAGGGTCACCAGACCCGAAATGTTAACTGATTTTCTCTTCAGAGATGCTTCCAGACCTGTTGAGCTTTTCCAGCAACTTCTGTTTTGTTCCTGATTTACAGCATCTGCAGTTCTTTTGGTTTTTATTTAGCAACCCATAAGATGTTGAAAGCGGGTCAGATTAATTTAAACGCATGAATCTGCTGACTCTCTACATCCAGGCTCACACCTGAACGGTGAGTATGCATTCAAGATACTGAAGGACAGACAGAAACTCTCAATTCATGTCCAGTGAGGCAGAAATATTTTCTGGAAAGCATTTATAGAGAATGTCATTAATGGGTACAAATAGACAGTGATGTCAGAGACATTGGAACAATGATGAAGATATTACAGGGAATATAAACTGGGAATGGTCATTGGCAAATCATGCAGCAAAGTAGTAAATTTAAAAAAAACATATTTTAAATGAAATCTCCTAACTGGACTGGGACAGCTTCTGATCTTTTTTTCACTGGGTCTTTGCAACTTTTTATTCATTGCTCCATTTGTTTTCCAGTTTCTTGCCCTGGTTTGAAGTTTTCTACAAGCTCCTAAACAACATTGCTGACTGCCTGGCAAAAGGACAGGTAAATATTACAATGTGTAAAATGCACTACATTATAACCTTAATAAATGTACTATATCACACGTTTGAATTTGAGTTTGTTTAAGTTTTGAGTTCTGCTACCCCGATGCACTTTGTATGGTACGATCTGCCTGTAGGGCATGTAAAACATCATTTTTCACTGTATCCTGGTACATGTGACAACAATAAATCAAACTTCTAATATGATGAGAACTGACCCAACCTGTACCCCTTCCATTTAGAATGCTCCTGACTTTGCACATGCTGATGTTTTTTTGGAGTTTTCTCCTTTGCCTTAGTGCACTGGCCAGCTGTTTGTATGTTATAATAAATTTGTGTTTTTATTTCTGCAGAATAATGAAGTGAAAGAGCTCTTAAGAATGCTGTATATTCACCCACCTCCCCAACCAGACTCTCCACTCAAACTTGAACTTGTAAGTTAAAAAGAAGAAACAGCCTGCATTCATTTAGCATCTTTCACAACTTCAGGACATCCACAGGATATCCACAATCATTTTATACAGTCCCCATTCTCACTTTCTGTGCTGCGCAGTGTAGTCCTGTTAAAAAAAAACAAAGCAACATTCATTTTATACACCTTCAAATAATAGGAATTATGACTTGGTCAGTGTACCATTTTCTGATAGAGTCACAGAGTCATTCAGTATGGAAACAGACCCTTCGGTCCAACTAGTCCCTGCTGAACATATTCCCAAACTTAACTAGTCCCACCTGCCTGCACCTGGCCCATATCCCTCCAAATCTTTCCTGTTCATGGACTTATCCGAATGTATTTTAAATGTTGCACCTGTACCTGCATCCACCACTTACCCTGGCAGTTCATTCCACACACTAACCACACTCTGTGTAAAAAGTCAGAAATCACACCTCACCAGGTTATAGTACAACAGGTTTGTTTGAAAACACAAGCTTTCAGAGCCTCATTCCTCCTTCAGGTGTTAGTGAGAGAGGTCGTATCAGACACAGACTTTGTGTGTAAAAGATCAAAGGTTCACACCATTGATGAGGATGTACTAAACAAGTCTAAGATGCTGTTAAATCTTTAATCAGTTGGAAGGTTTTAATTGATTAATATGTATATGTAAATCCCCAAATTCCTTTCAAGTCACAGTCCTGAGAGAACTAAAGGTTTTATCAGTGTAAAAAAGAGGTGACGTTTTAGGTCAGACAATGCATGAGACCTTGTTTAGAATCTGTTTGTGTTTCACTTTGGAGTCAGACTGGTTTTATTTCTAAAGTAGGAATTTATAAAATGTCACATTGACTGACTGTGCTTAAATTGTGCTTTTTGAACAAAATAAAATGTATCTCCAAATACAAATTCATCCCATAGATTCACATGTGTGTGTGTGAGGTGGGGGGATGGTGGGGAGAGAGTGTGTATGCGTGCATGTGTGAGGGGGGGAGTGTGTGTGTGTGGGGGCGGAGAGAGAGAGAGTGTGTGTGTGAGAGAGAGAAAGAGAGGGGGAGTGTGTGTGTGTGTGAGTATGGAGGGTAGACTCTGTGTGTGTGTGTGTGTGTGTGTGTGTGTGTGTGTGTG